AAGCAATAATATTAATTAGTAATCATATTTAATAAAATCATTAGAAAAATACAGTCATGAACTATATCTTCTTTTTAAAGTGTTTCGTGTTACAAAATACCGCGCGCGCCTAACGTTGGCTAACGGAGGGTTTAGATGCAAGTCGGCACGGGTTCCCGTTTATAGAATGAGCTGAAATTTTTACTGGGAGTATATAAACAAGTAATAAACATAATTAGAGGGTATGCGAAAAAAAAATAAAGGGACACCCTAATGTAGGCATACCATCAAAAAATTTTAAATTTTTCTATACTTATTAAGGACATGACAATACAATTATCCTTAAAGTTTAGAGTCGATTGACAGTCTATAACCCGAGATAAATTCAATTAAAAATTGGATAATTAACATGGATTGTATAGGTACGCTTTCTGTAGTTCTGTACCAGTTTCTTGGTTATAAAAAATAAAATAATAAAACATTTTGACCGTCCAATTGTTTATAAATAACCGTTTAAAGTTCAACAATTTGTAAAAAAGTATAAATTCTAGTCAGAGTCAGATAAAAAACAACGCTGTACGCGAGTATATACACATATATATATATCTATAGATATTATTTGCGCAGTAAATTCAAACAGACTGATGAAGATCAATATTTCAAAATAAAAAACAATAATAATAAACATATAAATATTAATAAACAATAATAAATAATAATAAAAAACAATAATAAACATATAAATATTTATTACGGATTAAAAAAAGGAACATTTTGAGTAATAAAAAAAAATATTATCAGTACAATTTTTTGTTGTTGTATACGACCCTTTTCTATTGACTGAATTAGTCGTACAAGTTTTTCTAAAAATTTCTTTTTAATAAATCTCCCTTTATTTCTTATTTAATTTTCAGACATTATTCGATTTATTGGATACTGTTAAAAAAGTAAACACTAAACACTATGTATTTACGTATCGATCTATACTGTCTCCAATATATCTATTGGTTGCGCATAAGCGTCGTTGCCGGATTAAAACTTATGAATATATGTAAAAGTATTACGTATATGTAACGTCTCCAAGGGTACAGTCTTGCGAAAAAAATATGAATCACTTAGCTACAAGCTCGTATACTTTTACGGTGCGTATAATCTAAAAATTTTGGACAATATTGTACCACGACAACTACCTTAAGCAAACTAAATAACATTTTTAACCAAATCGAATTATTGTATTTTAAAAATATACATATTTAAAAATCGGGATATTTTGAATTAGAATCGGTAGATGTATTCGAAAATCGGTAGATCTACCGATAAATCGGTAGAGGTGGCAGCAATGAGCTAGAGTACAAAGCTCAGTGCGACACGTATGTACTTTAACTCATTTATCTCCTAAACTATTGCAGATCCCATTTTGAAACTTCTGGTGTATTATAGATGTACTTTAGGCTCTATTTTGAAGAAAAAAAAACTGGTCGAATCACTAAAATTCTGATTTCCGGTTTTGTATATTAAAAAAAATACAAATCCAGTTCTATTTTGTATTTTAAAGAACAGTACATTTTCTATTTAAGTCTCCATATTTAATATTTTAAAATAAAATTGTTTAATTTGAAAAAGTATTTCCAAAAAATACTAATTTCAATAACAATTCTTTAGAAGCCAATAACAGTTATTGGCTTGACAAATAAACATACTTACTGTAAATGGCTATAATTTACTTTAAGTAATACAAAAAAATATTGTGTGTCCACATTCATACCTACTAGAAGTACAATTAATCCAAATATGAACAAATTTTAGAACGTCACTTTTTTTGCTGTCCACTTCATGTGAAATGCCCCTATAGCAATAAAAATAAATATCCGGAATTATTCAGAGAGGTTCTATTTGATTATTGTAAAATAAAATACAAAGACATTTTTGCTGTTTTGTTATAAGCCAAGTTTATTGCATAATTACCTAGTATATAATAAGATAATTGTTGCTACTGTACGTTTTATTTTAATAGTTTCTTTTTATATACGCAAATATTCATCAAACCATAGTTCCAAAAAAAAATCCAAAAACAAAAACATGTCTAATAGTTGTTGTTTTTGGAACAGTTCTAGACGATTTTATCAGCTAACCAATGATTGCATCTTTCTTCTGTCAGTCCGATCCGGTGATGCCGTTTGCAAGTATTTTACTCGAAAATTGGATATTTTCGTCATGTTTGCGGGTGGAATTTTGAAGCGGGTTAAATCAGGTAATTTGCAAATTTCGCATTATACTATAAAAGGTTTTTGGGAAATTAGGTCCATAATAAAACCACATTGTCAACAATTATTATGATTTTATTATATTATAACAGAGCCATATCCTACACTTTGACATCCGTACCCTTAACATATATGAAATTATACCATTTTGAAACTAATATTGAGCATTTTAGTTAAAAAATAAAAATCTGTCATGTTGTATAAGTATATATAGATAAAAAGAACTACAATTAAAAAAAAAATTAACACCTTTAAAATGTAATATTTGTAATTATATAAATGTATAAAAATATGTTTACAAATAATTAATTATAAATACAAATATAACGGTTGTAAATACAAATTACATTTTTGCTATGATAATATAAAACTGATTAAATTTAGTCAAGTAAGGTAGATACCATACATACTTACAAGATATTTATAATAGTTTGACGTAGAATAAATTTATGATTATAAATAATAATTAATAAATAAAATAGTTTATAAATATAATGAATGCATTCGAAAAAAAAACAACATTTTTGGGTATGCAAAAATTTAACATACATTTCCATAATAATGCTTAATATCAATCACTAAATTATTTTTATATTAAAAATTTATGAAAGTTACTAAAAAAACATTATTTAGTAAGTCTACTTAATTTTAACGCAGGATTTTGCTCTGTTATACAGTCCCCCAAATTCAACAAACCTAAAAACAAAAAATAAATAACATAAATAAGTTAAAATATCTTCAAGCAATCTAAAAATTAAACTTTAACATTATTGTTAAATGGATTCGTGTCATGCTTGAAAGCAGGATCATAACAAGCTCGATTGGAAGTAAGGAGATCAGCTCAACCGTACCCAGAGGCTGCCCACAAAGAGGCTGTGGTGCCTAGTGCTGGCTACTCCGCATCCTAAACCAGGAAGGTATATACACTAAGCTATGCGGACGACCTCGTCATTGTCGTGGCTGAAAGGGTACCAAACACCATTAAAGAGCTCTTAATAAGGTCGAAACGTGGTGCGACGATCAAGGGCTCTCCGTCAATCCGGATAAGACCGAAGTGGTTCACTAACCAAATAAACGTAAACCTGGAAGGGCTCACGGTCTTCGGATCAAGACTGACATCCCAATTGGTCAAATACCTGGGAGTCATCATTGACTCCAGGATTACGTGGAAGGATCACGTCACCAGGGTCGTCCAGAGGGCCACTGCTAGCCTATGGGCCTGCAGAAGTACCATTGGACGCACCTGGGGCTTACAACCCAGTATAGTACACTGGCTTTACAAAGGAATATTAAGGCCAATGATCACATACTGCAGTATAGAATGGTAAAACGCGCTAAGCAAATCACCTACAAGAAAATAATTCGAGCTTTTAGAACCACTCCAACACTGGCAACGGAGGCCATACTGGGACTAACGCATATACATCTCTTTGTAGAGGCACGAGCTCAGAAGGCCTTGGTCAGACTCAACGATTGGAGACAATGGGCTCACAGGGGGGAGAGCTCTGGGCATGCAAGGGCCTGAACTAATACTATCAATCGGGAACCCCTTCCCACAAGAAGGTATGCAATGCCAAGGACGTCACCCCCCTCAGAAGATATAAAGTCGTTTTACCAAGAAACGACTGGACCGAGCCTGACCTAGGCGGCTTCCAAACCATAGGTTTATATGAAGAGCGACTTGAGGCGAGAATATGCCTTGCACTAGGTTGATATTCAACTGTATATCAGACTAAAATCTATGCCGTCCTGATCTGCGACCAAGCAAATGTCAGTCAAGCAGCACTCTGGGCTCTTCCTCAGAAAGGATCATCTCGAGACTTACGCTGGTCTGCATGAAAACCCTAGAATTATTCAGTGTGCTTAACAAGGTCGCCCTTGTCTGGGTACCGGCTCATCGAGGTATCAAAGGCCACGAGAAAGCAGAGCAGCTGGCTCGTAAGGGCAGTAACACCGCCTTTATAGGGCCAGAACCTGCTATAGGGGTTGCCTCTTGTCTGATAAAAGCCAAGATCAAGAACCGGGCCCAGAACGAATAGCGAGAACAAGGCCACATTCAAGGGTCTCTGTAAAGGGTCCTACAAAATGTAAAGAGGCAAACAGATTCCTGAAACTAAACAGGAACCAGCTAAGAGCCATCACAGGAGTCCTAACAGGGCACTGAGTAGTCAAATATCACCTCAGCAACGAGACGTATTGTTTGTTACTGCAGCGAAGTAGACGAAACTACCGAGCATAGTCAACGAATGCGAGACTCTAGTCAATAGCAGACTAGGACACATCAGGGGACCGAGGAAATAAAGCATGCCCGACCAGATTGGGTCTGCGCTTTTCTTAAAAGCTGCGGGCTCCTAAGGTAAGGTAGCAGAATAATAATAATAATAGCAGAGCAGTATAAATAAACCAATAATCAAGTGAAAACGTCACAAAACCCATAATCTTAAGAGGCCCCAATAAAAAAGTGTTTAAAACTAAACAAAACACTGAAAGACTTTGAACAGCCTAAACACAGAAAAGTCAATAAACCCGTATAAAGGGCAATACTGATGACCAATTAATGTATACGCACAGTGGGGTAAAATAATTTGTGTAGATCTTTTAACTTTATCTTAGTAAACTAGCAACTGTCTAAATATGGTTGGATCTTCCTTGAAGTCAGAAGAAGAAGAAATAAAATCCAAAAGTAATTGATTTTAAATTTAGTATTTGCTGTAAAATTTTTGACGTTATTCTTAAAACGTAATTTTTGCATACTTACTATTTTCCAAGTCCAAACTCTTTAGCATCATCTTCGGTTATGTCTCCATATTCCCAGATATTGCTATGTTCCTTTTTAGCAACGTCCTGAGCTGCTCTATAAGAATCCAACTAAAATGTTAAACACATTAATGAATTATTTGTCTAAACTTTTTTATACCAATTAATTTAACTATTGACTTACCAATTTATTTTGTCTTCTGCTCTTAATGTTGTCTACAAGTAAAAGACCTTCCTCAATTAGGCTTTTAAAGAGGTCTCCTTTGTCGGAATGTAAAGAGGCGGCCGGAAGTGTCCCTTGGTTTCTGTATTCAACGTTAAGTTGTAGTTTAGGAACTAGCACATCCTGTTTTAGATACTTGATGGCAGTGTCGGCGTACTCGTCGTCTTTAGGCAGGGAACAATAGGGAAGAGCGAATTCTGTGGCAAATGCTTTGTCACTGACGTATGCGGCGGGTAACTTAGCTAATCTAGTCACAGGTATGGTTTCTCGGTTACCGTAGTCAATGTAGTGAACGGTTGCGTTGCTTCCTTGCACCTTTTCTACCTTTGCTCGGTACCATTCGTCGTCAACGCTAAATTTAGCGGCGCACACTTCTCCACGCTTAGGTGTATATGCACCGGGAAGAGGCGGACTAGCTTCGAATTCTTGTCTCATTTTAGCTAACAAGGATTCGGCTTTTGGACCGTCAGCCACTCTTTGGACAAAGAACGTACCTTCTGCTGTTATTTCTGTTACGACCACATCTTCCAAATTCACTTTTCTTTCAGCTGGCTAAAAATTATAAAAATCGGATATTATCTATTTTTAAATAACAGTTTTTATAAAGATTTGTATGGATTAATAGGTACGTGTTTTCAATGTTGGTTCAATATTAAAATTATCACAAATTTTGACATACACTAATACGAGGGTATTAACGTCAATAATAAAGAACAAAAAATAAATTTTATTTGCTAAAACACTTTTTTATACATTTAAACCAATTTTGTAGCATTTTCCACGCACAAACTATTTTTAGAATTTATATGGTAAGGGGCGCCATGCAATTTACTCCGGTAGTAACTTATGGGCTACGACCAAACTGCAAAATTCCCAATAAGTCAAATGGCTATAGGTACTGATTGCTTTAAGTATATCTAACGTTATATTATTTATAAGTAATTAATATTGAATGGGAGCGCAAATTAACCAATTTCCCTTTACAATATACAGGGTGTTTCAAAAAATATGCGCCAATGCTCGGCTGGAGAGAAAAAAAAGTTCATTTAAACGTTGCTCCGGATATGCTTAGTTTACCAGATACATTTAAGAAAACAGATTTTTTAAAACATGTTGTTTTGTTGAAATATGGCAACGTTATTTATACTAATGAGGAGCTAATTTAGTTTTGACTAAATTAAAATAGTCAAGTCCAGTGGAGTCCCTGAGAAGCACGTTAACGAATATTTGACACAAAAATGTAGGCCACTGACTTTTTTGAAATTTTTATATTTTGTTATAATTAAGCCACTAAAAATATTTTTTATCTCTTGAGTTGTTTTCGTATCTTACCTCGTTATCCACAGAAAAAATAAAAACCATATTATTGCATAAAAATTGACAAAACGCAATATTTTTTGATAAATCAATCCGTTTTGGAGAAAAATGACAAAACGTACGGTATAAATAACGTTCGTTCGGGCAAACTATTTTTGAGATAATGTTTAACCCCGTATCTTGAAAACTAAGTATTTCCGGACCTACGGTTATACGAACTTTTGTTCTTATTTTTGGATGACAAATCTCCAGCCGAGCATTGGTGCATGTTTTTTGACACCCTGTTTAATAGTAAAGACAATATCGTAGGTGGAATATACTTTTAGCTATTCATATTAAGTACGTGCTAGGGCTCATTTACTGCTTGATAAAGAGGATTTTAACTCATCCAGCTTGGTTTAAAAGCTTTCCAGTTAACATTCGTGAATCCACAATTGATTCACATTTAGATCATAGCTCATGGACGAAATGACGCTGATGCGAATGGATGTTAAGTCAGCATGGATCCACGAGATGGCGCTTATGTGAGTCAAGCATGAATCCAGATTCATTATTGATTCGAATTATGAATTTTCGTTGTGATATAGCTTAATGAAAACATATTTACATAAGTGTATTTATTGATATTGTTCAAAATAAAGAGACTTTTAAGTCAAAAGTAAAAAGTTTTGATTTTTGAACAAAAGGGGATCGACGACTAGGAAGCCTCCTTGAGAAGAGGACTAGGAAAATTATTAACATACATATTAAGCAATATTATCTTTAAAATTTTTAAACGCTTGTAAACAAAAAATTAACTAATTTGTTAGTTAGGTTACAACCCCATTTCTAGTTATGGTGGAAAAATCAAATAAAAAGCACTTTTTAAAATCGCCCGAGCGCTTTAAAGCACTTTAGAGCACTTTTCGAGCATTTTCAAAATAACCTGGATTGTTATAATCCCGATTTTTAGTTTTGGCGGAAAATTTCCGTACTTTTGCATTATTATTCCTACAGGTTTATTTTAAGGGAAAATAAACTCATCAGAAATCCACTCGTGGATTCATATGGATCTATCTTGCCTTAAAATGAACCTATACAGTGCTTGCAAATCCAAGTCCGACCGGTTTGGGAAGGACGCGTGAAAATAACAAGGATAGAACGCCAAACAGAAGGCGCTTACAATACGCACGCCTGACGCTCTGACCAATCAAATTCTGTTTGGCATTCTATCCTTATTCTTTTCACGCGGGTATTGAACAACCATCCTTTCCAACGCGGTCGGACTTGGATTTGCAAGTACTGTATGTACATATTTACCGTGAAATGACTTCAAAATGCTTTTATGTAAATCCATAGTGAATTCACGAATGTTAACTGGGTTGATATTAACAGCCTTGCACTAAAAGCCTATGGAGCCCGCATCCACCATTTTAAACAGTATGTACCATGATAATACATAAGACTGGTAACGTAACGCGCCGTATTAAGCCGGGTCTACAATTGTCGCAGATCGCAGAACATAAGCTTGCTCAAAGCACCCAGCTGAGAAAAGAACCTTGCTCCATCGCCACGTCGCGACGCGGGGTGCTTTGCGCAGCGGCGCCAGACATGTGGCATTCGGCGAGTACCGAGCGACTGCTCGTCATTTGGCAAGGAGTTGAGTTACTCAGCAAGTGTTCGCGGAGTAATCACCAAATGGCGAGCACCTTAAACCAGATATTCGTAGTTCGTCATGTATAGAGTCTATGTGGGAACAACGAGTATTCAGTATTGGCTTATATTTATTTATCGAAATGGATAACGATACAGTGCTATTAGCTACTTTTACAGTCATATCTTGTGGTAGTATGTTATTCGACAAAATACAATACAAAAAACACAATTTTTTTTTACAAAAACCCACACAAAAACCCAATATAATTTTTTTTAAACCCGTTTTTTGGCCAACCCTGCAATAGATAATAAGAAATAATTCGGTAATTCAACAATAGGTATACTTGCTATATATATATATATATATATATATAGATATTTTCTAGCTCTAAACTTTTGCTTGCAAAAGGACGAATATGTGGATACAGATTCAAAGCTTAACGGCGAATACTCGTTTACTTTGATGTTGTATAAAATAACGACAAACCACGGGAAATACACGAGCACTCTACAAACACCAAAATTTGTCATCGGCGTCATCGGCATTCGGCGAGCAGTCGCTTGGTACTCGCCGAATGCCGCATGTCTGGCGTTCTGTTCTGCGATCGGACCCCTGCGACAATTGTAGACCCGGCTTTATGCCGCTGACGAGTGGATCTAAACTTGGGTCACTGTTCGACAGAAAGGTCTAGAGAGAGAGAGACAACGCGAAAAAGGGCTATGCGAATCGTTCGGTTATCTGAGAAATTAAGGATTCGCCGGTAATTTTTATTAATTTATTCAGTGTCCGAGACTATTAGGTATTACAATGGTTAAGACTTGTTATGTGCCTACGTGTAATAATGGGTAAAAAAGTTGTTTATAGAAAGTGTCTCTATTTAAAGTGACAGGCGACAGATTAATTTTTTGGCAAAAGAAAATACCGCGTAAGAACAGACTTATTTTAAAAAAAGATTTTATTTGTAAAAAAAAAATTTAATAAACAACTTATAAATAGTTCAAACTAAACTGTATACGCTAAGTATCAGGTAAAATAGGTAAAATTATTGTATTGGCATTGTAAATAAAAATTATGCTACTACATAATAATTATGTAGTATCATGATAAAAATTAACATAAATTGCCTTGTCACAATATTGAGGGTAAAATATTAGATATTATTTATTAGGGATAGAACGATATCACTTTTTTTTGCCGATACGATATATCGGCCGATGCCGATATTTACGTGCCGATATACCGATATATCGTATCGGCAAACATAATTCCATCTATTTATACACGACCGAAGCAAAAATCGGGGAAGTCCCGTTTTAATTCCGTTGCGAGGAAACGTTTGTGATTGGTAGTGAGTGACATTTCGGATTTCTGGGAAGCCCCTTATACAGTGTGTATTAAAACGAATAGATACACTTAAATAAAACAAGTGGTGGCCCACTGTGGTAGGGATTGAGAATTTATAGGTTTTATTTTTATCGAATTCGTTTGTTTTGTTTTAATGCATTTCTGCAAATAAAAACTGTATTGTTTAAAATCCATTAAATTCCAGATAATGGCGAAAATGTATTTCTTAAAAACTATACACATTTCCCTACGACAGTATTTCATTTATGCACTGAAGAGTGAAAAGCGCAATTTTTTTTTGCCGATATATCGGCAATTATCTTGCCGATACGATACGATACCGATAATCGGAAACAATTGCCGATATGCCGATATACCGATATTAATATCGGTATCGTTCTATCCCTATTATTTATAGTATATTTATTGTATTATTACACAATAATATGTATAATCCATATATATAATCCATCCACTGCTTATTCTAACTTCGAATGTTCAAACAAACAATCTAAAAGGCAACAAATCAGCAGCTCTCTTCATGGACATTAGTAAAGCATTCGATAGTGTGTGGCATGCCGGCCTATTATACAAATTATACAGCTTAAATTGTCCAAAATATCTAATTCACTTTATAAATAACTTTCTAAAAAATAGACCGAGTCTAGTTAAACACAATCAAAAATTATCTAAATCATTTTCTATGCAACAAGGTGTCCCGCAAGGCTCTCCTTTATCCCCCATTCTATACAACCTATTCACATACGACATCTATTCTCAACAATTTAATCCTAACACATATATTCTAGAATTCGCAGATGATAAAGCTTTAATTGCACACCAGAAAAATTTAAAACTCACTTTGATTCACTTACAAAATCTCTGCAATAATATAATCCAGTTTTTTTCCAAGTGGAGAATAAAACCAAATCCCAATAAAACTCAACTAATATTATTCAATCACAAAATAAATATAAATTCCCCCTCTATAAAAATTTTTAATCAACAAATACGACCATCTAATTCATGCAAATACCTTGGAATACATTTAGATAGCAAACTCAATTTCAATTTACATGCCAAATTAATGAAAACCAAGATGATTACAAGAGCCAAACATTTCAGAAGCCTGACATACAAAAATAACGGTATACAACCTGAAACTGCGATTAAAATCTATAAAATGATATGCAGGCCCATTATTGAATATGCCTTCTTAATCTACCTAAATTGCAAAAAAACTACTGTAGGTAAG